ACACTAGAGTAATGTCTATGTGTTTTTGTGCATGTTGATGCAGGGTGGAGCGTTTGGCAGAAGGAGGAGGTGAGGCCTCCTCTTTCGTACAGTGGCAGAAGAATATGCGAGAGAGGGACCTTCAGGAGGAGCTGGCCAAGCTTGAGCAAAGGCGTCTGGAGGGACTCATCAGTCACAAGGAGGCAGMMATTGCCMGAATAAACATCATGGARAGCAACCAGAAGGCCGCTCAGCTCAAGAAAGAAGAGGTTGGAAAAGAMCACTCAACAATCATTAATAAAATGCATTTACAGAAGATTACACGGTGCATTAGTTACATAAAAGCATGTCTGTTTTCTACAAACATCTTTAAACAAGTAATTTTACAGGGGATTTACAATTATACATGAATAAAATGGTTGCCATAAAATTGTAATTAGGGTTGCTTTGTTGTGTCTCGCAGACAGCTCAGCTGATGAGGGAATATGCTGAGAAGAGGTTGCAGGAAGAGGAAGAACTGAGGGACTTGGTACAACAAGTGGCAGAAGGACACAAGAACTCAAAAATGGCCAAAGAGAAGTTACAGAAATTCAAGCAAAGTATAGGTACGACTCCACTTGTGATTTAATTCAATTTTTTTGTCAAGATTTCCTTTTAATTCTCTTGTACATTTCACAGTGAGAGAAGTCTCAGGGCAAAGTCAAGCACTCCTTCGACAAGCACTGGAGGAAGCACAGGCAGAACTGAGCAGGAAGTTTCAAACCATCCTTGAAATCCGTGCCATTGAGTCACTTCCTCACATCAGAATGAAATATTTTGACGACACAAAGGTGAGTGAGGAAGACGTCATTACAAATTTCACATACTTTCATGTACAGTATAACCTGTTGTCCCTTGTCAGACTGCAGGACATGAACTGATGGGAGAGATGTCCATGATTGAGCTGAAGTTGCGACTGGCCCACCTGAAGGAAGTCCAGCAAACAGAGCAGCAGAAGAAACGTGAGAACATCCTGGAGGAGAAGCAGAAAAAGAAGCAGCTGCTGTTGGAGGAGGTGGAGCTCAATAACCTCCACATGAGAGCAATGACACAGGTTGCAGCCATCAGGTCAGGAAAAACATGTTCGGCTCTGACTTGATTATGGCAACAGGTACCCAAGTACTAGTGTCTTAAAGCAGATGCCGGCAGCCACTGGTAACCAGTGAAGGGAGTGGAGTAGTGAGAGTGAACTTAGGCTGAAGACCAGTCGAGCTGCTGCATTCTGGATGAGCTGCAGAGGTCAGATGGCATTAGCAGGCAGACCAACCAGGAGGGAGTTGCAGTAGTCTCAGCATGAGATGACAAGAGCCTGGACCAGAACCTGTGCCGCCTTCTGAGTGAGAAGGGGACGTATTCTCCAGATGTTGTTCAGCATGTATCTACAAGAGCGGGTTGTTGCAGCAATGTTGGCAGTAAGGGAGAACTGGCTGTCGAGGTTTAGACCCAGGTTCCTTGCGATCTGGGTGGGGGCTACCACGGTGTTGTCGATGGTGATAGTAAGGTCAAGGGTGGGAGAGCCTTTCCCTGGAAGAAAAGTAGTTCGGTCTTGTCAAGGTGGATTTTCAGGTGGTGTGTGGACATCCACTGAGAGATGTCAATCAAACAGGCAGAGATTCGTGCTGCTACATAGACATTAATGTTATGTTCTTTGGCATGTTGCAGGAAAGAGAAGGAGAGGAAGGCCAGCCTGGATCTTCAGAAGAAAGTTGCTCAAGACAAGAGAGTTTTGGCTATGCAGAAGAAGCTTGAGGAAAAACAGCAAGAGCAGCGAAGGCTGGAGCAAATCAAGAGCAGCAAGGCCAAAACCGCTGAACAAACAACAGTGCATGCAGGGACATGTGACAAAGTGAGTATGAAATCCAAATCAAAGAAGCTCTCTGCTCTTACTAACAGTTTTAGCTTTGTCTGGTTTTTGTTTGTGTTTCGATTTTTCAGTCACAGCAGCAGTGAAATAATATTCCTTATTCATCTCCACATTTCTCTTCTTCCCAGAAAACCAAGACGGCGGAGGAGATTTGTGAGTCGATGACAAAGAATTTAGAGCAGTTGATCCAGAGGGGCTTTTAACTTTCAGACCGGGACGATCATCAGTGTATCTGCTGCCAGGAGAGAAAACTGTTTCATTTCTGCATTGCGCCATTGACACACTGGAGGCACATAAATTATATATTATATATGTTATAAATGATCAAATATGAATCCTTTTGAGTTTCCTGCTGTTCTCCTGGAGTTTGAATTTCACAGATTTTTCCCCCTACACCATGAAATTTCCCCATCTGCCCATCCACTGTAACATATATCAGTTGTGTTAAACACAAGCACACAGTTCCTGGTAACAGGAAGGTGTTTGCGCACAGTCAAAGCATGGATTCACCTGAAGAGCAAGTTGAAGCGAAAAAAAACGCCCACGATTACCTAAAGCATAGGTCACCAATAGGCGGACCGCGGCCCGGACCAGACCAAGACGCCGTTCTATATGGGCCCAGACCTGTTATTAGATTCTGATGAACCATTTTTATTTTAACCGAAACAACGGTTTTGCATTTACAGTAGTCTTATTTTAACCTACGCAGCTTTATCCTTCTTTCCAGTAGTAAATCCTGGAAGCCCATGGTTGAGTTTACTGCTGTTACTGAACAACAGAAAGTGGGAACAAAAAGAAAAGATGTTAAAGCTATTTAAAAGTTAGTTGAGATTGTTTATATGTGTAATAAAGTTATATTCTAAGAGCAAAGAAGAAAAGGGGAAACTCAAACCAAATCTTTTTATTTTCTAAAATGAAGCACTTTATTTTAAGATGCCTTTTTTTAAAAGCTCTTTATCTTGTTGTTAGATGCAAACCTTATTTTAATTTATTGTATTATTAATAGTACCCTCCACTTCAGTGTGAAAATGAATAAACATTGTTTAAATACAGTTGAATTAGACTTTCTTTATTTTGTTTGACAGTCAGTTATTGACATCATACAGACATTGATACAACTACTAGGCTACTTCAAGATGATATTTTTGATGGACTGCTTAACTTGAATTTACAGTGTTTTGATATTCCTCCAGAAAGTTACTTGAATTTAACTTTGGTTTTCATTTATATTGTTGTTGCTGAATGTAGATTGATATATCCCATTTACTTTAATCGAACAAGCTCTTGCACTCATTTTATTTTGGAGACTCAGACTCAGCTATTTTATTACCTTATTTGTTGTGGAATAATGCCTTGCAGTGCATACTTTGTTTTTTGTCATATTTTTTTGTATTTAAGAGAAGATGATTGAATAATGTTGTGTATTAGA